TTGCATGTCCTCAGTAAGTGTTTTCTGTTTCTCCTGTAGAGTTCGTTGGGTGTTTGTACTACGTAGGACCTTGGCGCCGTGTGTTAACCTGTTGTACAAACAGCTGGTTCCCAAGTTTTCTGGGTCCTGCATGATCCTGACGGTATCACCAGTCTGTAGCTCTGGTAACGGTTTTGCATGCTTGTTATATAGGCGTGCCTGCTCATTCTGTCTCATTTTGAGCTGCTCACATGCATCCTTTGCAATTCTTGGCATCAGCGCTGTACTTTTTGCTGGTAATCTTGATCGAAGTGTTCTGCTCATCAGCAGTTGAGCGGGAGAGTAATTCATTCCCGCAATGGGTGCGTTTCGGTATTCGAGTAACGCGATGTATGGGTCACTCGCTTCCTCGGCTGACTTTCTAAGGATGTTCTTAACTGTTTGTGCAGCCCATTTACTAAGTCCGTTTGACTGGGGGTAGGTTGGGCTTGAGGTACATAGTTCAATGTCCCATTTCCTAGCAATGTCTTTGAGCTTACGGGAGCTAAACGGTTGATTGTCAGATACAATAGTTTCCGGTATCCCGTGCCTCGCGAGGATGGACCGGAGATACGTGATCACCTCACTCGCGGGTTTTCTCTCGAGTAGGCTGATTTCTGGGAACTTGGAGTAGTAGTCTACTACAACAAGATAGTCTTTTGCCCCATACTCAAACAAGTCCATACCGAGTTTTTTTCCACGGTCTGTCTTTTACATCATGTGGAATTAGCGGTTTCTTTTGCTGTCTCTTCTTGAAACGGTTGCACGTTTTGCATCTTGCTATGAAATCGTCGATTGCTAATGACATTCCAGGCCAGTAGATGATGTTACGCGCCCTGGCCTTGCATTAAATCTCGATCCCGAGGTGACACGAACGGGTTTTAACCAAAAAGGTCAGACCAAGTACAAATAAAGATATACTAGTACAAGAAAACATAACCTCGTAGCTTTTTGCTCACACGGAGAGATTATATTTAGGTCATCTGAATGATTTCGCGGGCCACGTACGTCAAGGGATGCTCTTGAAAATGGACTACACAAGGGCCGCATAACCTCCTGCGGGAAGGGTGGCAGGTGCCCCCAGAGTTAAGGGCAAAATAAAAAAATAAGCTAAGGTAATAAGTAACTGAGGTAAGCGAGGAAAACATATAGTGACATACCATAGAAGTAAGTAAGTAGGTAAGTAAGTAAAAACTTTATTTAACGACGGTAAAACATTAGGTACAGACACAATAAAATGGCGCGGACCTATCTTCCACATGGCCGTCTCACAGCAATACAACAGTTAAATATTAAATAAATACACACTCTTTGAAGTTATAATAGTTGTACCAATAATATTACAGTGTTGTCTTCAGAAATACCCTCATCTTCTGCTCTATGTGGCTGCTGAATATTTAAGTACTGTTTGTAAGAACACAACTCATATCAGAACGCTGCAGCTTGTTATCTCTACATGTGCACTTTCAATGCAAGCACCCAGTTTTGTTGCATTTACATGCAATGTATTTTTGCAGAGCATCAGGTTCAAAAGGAATGCTATTCCAAACGCGTTAGAGTAAGCCATTACGTATCTATGTCTCCCAAATTATACACTGTTTTGGAAGAAGGCATTGTATACTATCCATTTTAGGGACATTTAGAATTCACTGGCACTGCAGATCTCAACATGCATCTACTAGTCTCACTAACCGTAGGAAATGCCTTTCTCTAGCCCATCTAGAACAAACCACTCTGTCAGTCAACTACCAATTCTTTGATAACTAGAAGCAGAAATAGACACTATCATGTAATCTTAGCTTAATCTAATCTTTCATCTAATATGAATACAAATTCACATAAAGTTTCATTCAGTGGCTGTGTTATGTGACAGTTACACTAAGTTACAGTTGTAAACTAGCTTGTGATGAGCAACCGTTGAGCATATAGGAGCAGATTTTCTCGTCAACATCACATTGCTTACCAGAGCAATTAACATAGAATTCTGAAACTGGGCACTTTTGTAACATGTCATAA